AATTAATAATAAAATATAAAAGTAAAGAACAAAAGTCATGACTGGGTCTTATAACACACTTGATTAATGAGAAAGGAAACAAAAGAAAGGCATATTTCATGCACATGTCATTAATTAACCTGAAGGTATAACTCAGTACAGTGGGCATTCAACTACACAGAATGTGATCAATATACTATAGAAAAGACCAGGCTCTTCTTCTGTAGGTCCTGTTTTACCACTCTGGGTGTTGAGGGTGATCTAAGGACCTGCTTCGTGCAGGACCTTACTCACTAGTAACAAATCACATAATACTTGTATTTACTATGTGTACATTGGGGTCATCCTAGAAACAGATTTCCAACAACCGGTGGCCAGGCTAAAACAGATAGGAGCAATGGTTCTTTTTGAAGACAGAGAGTATCTTCCTAAGAGCTGAAGAACTAACAGTCTGCACACAAGGGATGTGTGTACAACAGTTAAGTTCTGGAACCAGGACAAACAAGCAGGACTTTCCACCTGAGTTTAGAGCAGGTGAGCGTGAAGAGACAAAAGGAGCTTACACTGGCACAGTACAGTAGTTAACTGACTTGCTGCTTATCAATTCCTACTAATGACTTGAATATTCTCCTCAACCAGCAAAGCTCCTGCATCAATCTAGCCTAATGGCTGACTTGAGCGACAGTTTCATATCCAGTGTACTGACATTTAGACCATTTTAGTCATGAAAAGGGTCTGTATCTATTGGAGTCAGCCTGAAGTAGACAATTTCCACTAGTAATGAAGTACAAGCTCCCAAACACTGTGTCATAGCTTTCCTTCCCGTCTTCAGACTCAGAAATCAACCATGCATGCAAACATGAAAAAAAGGACTTCAGCAGTGCAGATGCACGCCAATTCTTGGAATATTAGCCAGACAAGAACCTGGTCAGTGGATTGATGGCGCCACCAGCTCAATGGCCTGCACCATCTCATCAAATGGTCATTAAGAGATCTGGTCTGCTTGTCCTAAAAGCTCACTGCCCGCTTAAGCTCGTCAGATGTGTACATGATACAGGAAATTATCTACAAAAATACTGCACAGAGAAAGGGCACTGGTAACAGCCTCTTATCACATAATGACCTAATATATGCCAAGGTCTAAGCCTTCACATCTCTACAACAGTTTCTATCATGGATTTACTTGTGCACTTATAATGTGATACTCCCCGTGTGGGTTTCTGGGACCCATTTTAGAGAATAAAGCCACTGCCCCCCCCCCCCCCCACAAGCATGTCATAGGATTCAACTAATCAGGGCTATTCCCGTCAAAGTCGAAGTGTAACTGATGGAGGCTAAGCACCAACAGTCTGCATAAAATATGTCTGATCTGTAAAACAGATGTGCATGCAAAACTCAAGTTCTGAATTAAAATCAAAGTCCTGGACTGGAAGAACAACCATCACTTTCTGCCAGAGTTTAAAGAAGGTGAACTATAAGAAGAAAAAGATACAATGATACATAAAACAAGAACTGGTTCTTGAAATCTAGGTAAACCTGCTGTTAGCATGAATAAATCAAGAACTGACATCTCTGCACTCAACAAATAATGTCCATTGTACAGTTTTTACAGAAAATGCATGCACCAACAGTTTAAGCGCAAAGCACTAGTAGACACGGCTTTACATATTACTTGCAAACAAGTAAAGATAAGAAATGGGTTAGTTAAAGTACAAAGTTATTTTAAAAAAAGGAAAGAAATAAACAAATAAAAATCAAAGCAAAGCAAAAGCAGAAAATGGAAATAAAAAGTGGAACAAAAACTTACCAACAATAATGATAATAATAACAATAATGACAGCAATAAGAATGAGCCACATCTGTGAACACACAAAAAACAACAACAGTGTTACAACATCAGCAAGATCTGTGTAGAGCATGCAGTGCATGTAAGTAAACAATATTTTATAAGTGGTCTAAAAAACATCAGTAAGCAACAGGCAACATCTCTCAGGGGAATTTTTTTTAGTAAAGGACAAAATTGTTAGACAGTTCACGTTCAGGGGAAAACTATCTCACGGCTCATACTTATTCTATGTCATATTAACCAAACTGATTCAGATACATAAATTTCTAATAGTGAAACAGAAATAAAACTCTATATGCTCTAATTCATAACCCAGGTTGGTTGAAAAGAAGACATCACCGTTAAATATTACCACCACCACACAGTTAGGTAAACCTGCACAGCCTGACCTCAATGAAAACTTAAAGTAGCGAGTTAAAGTTTTTGATTATACAGAGAGTCACCCTGAAAAAGTACAATCAACACAGAGCAAGCTGAAAAAGTACAATCAACACAGAGCAAGCTGAAAAAGTACAATCAACACAGAGCAAGGGTGAGACCACGCAAAATATGGAACGATGAAAAGAGATCCCCCCCAAAAAATGAAGAAACATGAAGAAGGCTAGGACTGAAACCAGTCATACAATGAGGTGGTCTGGCTATCTGACAAAAAGTCCCTGGTACCAACAGCCACAGAAAGTCACACTGAAGAAAATAGAGCAAGGAGAAGACCACATAAAATATGGAATAACAGTATTAAAAACAGCTTTAGAGAAATGAAGATCAACTTATACAATGTATTAGAAATAGCACACAGAAAATCTGTACACCCACTCTCCTCCTTCCTGATAGGGTAACTGGGGGAAAAAAGGAAGAAGATTACAAGAACACAGGATTAGCTAAAAGCTGGATTGCAATGCCATATGGCCTTGGAAAAGTTTCAATCTCCCTTCCAATTCTTTTAGCCCTTGAAGCTCCTTAAATAAATATTAAGACAGAATCATCAATGCACAGCTCAGGGAGAGATTGAAACAAATTCCAGTAATACAGGTGAGGAAAAGATGCAGCCTAGGATACCTGACGATACTTTAACTAGTGTGACTAAGTCGGGCCCCAAACAGACAGAATGGAAAATCAGAGATAAGAAATATCTTCTTCTTTTGTAATTGGCTGTAAAAAGTCAGTTGGCACAATGTGTTACGGCTTACAGCTAGACTGTGATATCTGCACCGTTTAGCCCAACACATCCCGTCTGGCAAACTCCTAATTAGTCACTGTTTTATGACATGCTTATTGCGGAACAGTAACACCCCCCCCCCCTTTTTCCCCCCAGCCCATGAGACCCAGAACCCTGCATCAAGGGGAAGAGACAGATATTAATAACATGATAAGGTCACAGAGGAAGCTACAGAAGGACTTGGCTTGAGTCAGTTGATAGTGCAACCTTCTGTAGGGGAAAATAAATGGCAGAAGAAGTACAAGAAGTCAAGATATATAACTACTTCAGTGAATCTACACACAAACTGTTGCAGGTTGCTTGCTATCAATTCTGAGTCTACACAGAACTAAATCATTTGTGTCAACACATAAACAAAAAATTCTACACTAGTTCCAAATAAACGATACACAAACAAATCTGTGCTGAGTTTATTCCGCAGTCATCAAAAAAAAAAAAAAATTACATCCTGATTCTGATAAGAGACATGCAGCAGAAACATGCATGGAAAACACACACATTTCTGAATAAGTATCTGGAGAGTAGTAGACAAGTGAATACTTTAATATAGTTCCTCATGGTGGAGTGTAGTAGACAAGTTAATACTGTCAAGCAAGGGTTCTCAACCTTCCTAAAGCGCGACCCTTTAATATAGTTCCTCATGTTGTGGTGGAGTGTAGTAGACAAGTTAATACTGTCAAGCAAGGGTTCTCAACCTTCCTAAAGCGCGACCCTTTAATATAGTTCCTCATGTTGTGGTGGAGTGTAGTAGACAAGTTAATACTGTCAAGCAAGGGTTCTCAACCTTCCTAAAGCGCGACCCTTTAATATAGTTCCTCATGTTGTGGTGGAGTGTAGTAGACAAGTGAATACTGTCAAGCAAGGGTTCTCAACCTTCCTAAAGTGCGACCCTTTAATATAGTTCCTCATGTTGTGGCGACCCCCAACCACTTAATTTTTTTTACTGCTACTTCCTAACTTCAGTGAATATCTGTTTTTCGATGGTCTTAGGCGACCCATGTGAAAGGGTCATTTGACCCCCAAAAGGGTCACCACCCACAGGTTGAGAACCGCTGCTGTCAAGTAAAATACTTTTTAGAACCTCAAGAAATAATCATTTTACTTTCGATTTTATGAAAACAAACCAGAACAATCCAGTAGTTGTAATCTACCAGGGAAAAGTAGTTATAATCTAGCCAGAAATAAGCAATGTGATTACCTATTACATATTTTACCCCCCCAAAAAACCCCCATTATCTACTTTGCTGACTATATAAGTAAAAACATAATCTACCTTGCTGACTACAAGCAAAACAATCACAAAATAGTTCATGTCTGTAAAACTAATATTTTAGAGCAAAACCTAGTTTCAAAGTCAGAGTGCTTCTGACAGAGACAAGAAATGAAATATGCCAGATCTGTCAAACAGATGTGAATATTTCTCACTGATTCAGACAAAAAACGCAATATTTTTCCCCAAACTAAGTATAGCACTATAATAAGCTTCAATTATTACAGGTAAAGGATTATATTTCTCAGTGGGGTAGAACTTTTAACATTTTTTTTATCAGACTAGGCACAAATTTATATTATGCTTCACTGATTTGAAGCAAAAATCTATAATACTGAGAGATAGAAAGGCCACATATTCCTTTAGTTGAGAATAAAACTATATTATGTTCCACCAATTTGAAGCAAATCTATAATACCGACCAATAGTAAGACTATAAAATGCTTTGATGTAGAATACAATTTATTTTCTTCCACTGGTTAAGAGCAAAACTACAATTGTTTTATTGATGAAATCTTTACTAAGCAGCACTCATTAAGGGTAAGCCTATCAAATGTTTTCTTAAGTCACAACCACACCCTCTGTAGAAATAAGTCCACTGATACAACAAAATGACAACATCATACTCAAGTCTGTGTGGCTGTGCCATAAAGGAACCAGCACACATAAGCCAGGCAGGCTGTACTCACCAACGATTATAATAACTATAATCCCAATGATAACTCCTAAGATTATCATCATCTGGAGAATTGTTAGCAGCCAAATGAGAAAAGGAACCAACCATCAACATAGTGAGATGTTTATTCTGAGTACCTTCTTTCATACACACGTACTTAGCCCTCGACCCGTCAGGGTCATGGTGGTGTTTTGATGGATGCACTAGCAAACAAACCCTGCCATCTTTCTCTGTCTTCCACTTGTTGTAGAACTGTTTAGTAATTTAGTCCTGTCAATTTCTTGATGTTGTAATTCCAGTTTCTTCTTTGCCCCCCTCTTCTTCGACTACCGCCCAATGTTCCTCGAAGTATAGTCTTTGCAATCAAATCATGTCTCTTTCTTAAGTTGACAAGAATATTTGTCCTTTTGCAATCTGTTTCCATTTCTTGTTGTCCTAGGTTATCTTATTCCAACCATCAATGCCAATATAATCAAACTGCATAATAAATATCTCACTTCCTGTGGGCCGTTTATATGTCCCACAGAGCATGCAGACAAGTTCTCTCCTGTGAAATCATTTCGATATCATGGATGGAAGCATCTAATACCTTAACCTCTCTCATTAATGTTCTCCACAATGATTCTTTTGGGTGTCCATTTCCTCCACCCAACTTTCCACCACCTGAGAGCCTGTCTGCTCATTGACTGATCACTTCTTCACAGAATGTGCCTAGCATATTGCCATCTGCTTTGTCTTATAACTGTTGATACCAGCAGTTGTTCCAGACAGTTCTCATATTTCTTCACTTGTTACTCCTGTAATTTAACAGTTTGAGAAGGGTTGCAGGGGTGCAGGGGCGGCCAGAAGAGATAAAATCAGGAATAATGTCATATGAGAAACTGCCGGCACGGAATCAATTCTAAATGACACACAACGACAGCAAAACAAATGTTGTGCACATTTATGATGTCTTGTGACACCCATACCACACACCACAAGAGAAGAAGGACACAGATCACGAGGCAGACCAAGTACAAGATGGAAAGACAGCATCAGACAAACTCGACAACAGCAAGACGTGTCTATAGTTGACGCAGCCAGAAGAGCATGAAGCAGAACCTTGTATCTTCTTGACACCCAAAGTGGTAAAAGAAGAAGAAGAGAAGAAGAACTAGCCCCATTAAGACATACTAGGGCCATTTGCTAGAGACATATCCTGTGACCAAATGACACATCACAGATTTTGTGAATATTAGTTCCTGTTACTTACATACATTTGTGCCTACATTTGTATGACACTGAGTTGAACAAAGAACCGCTTGGCCAAAGATCATTCTACTGCTGATTAATGAATCCAGGCAGCATCTATGTAGAAGGTCTTATCATACAGTTTGGTCAGACTGTATTCTTACTGCAAGAATAAACCCATTTATTCTCCTTATTATGATGTAATTCAGGTACATGCTTGTTATAACCTTCTCCTTAATGCTGGTATTAATGACCCTGTGACTATCATTTTCTTCTTCCTCTAAAAGTCCATGCCGTGAGGCGTTGGTAGTCATGTCTATCCACAACCCTCCGTCTCATGTACTTTCAATCAACTCTGACACAGATGATCCTCCATGCCATGATGTCAAACTGTCTAGCATCTTTTCTCTCAGTCTCCTTTCCACCTTTACTACTGTCACCATTTACTCCAGTCTTCTCGTCACATCATCAAAGAATGTATGTAGATTGTCTCTTTCCGATGTGAGCAATCAGTTCTCTTCATGACTCAGTTTCTTTCAAGATATTTCATTACTCTTTTTATCTGTCCATGGTATTCTCATCAATCGTCCATAAAACAGCACCTCCACAGCTCCCAAATAATTTTTCACTAATCTACCAACTGTCCATGATTCACTTCCATTTATCAAGATAGGATCTATATAGCTTTTAAGAACCTATTATTTTATGCAAGATTAATTACTCAGATGTTTAAGCTGTATATACACATTCCTGTTTACTTCTTCGTGAGAGTTTCGGGGCCCCATTTTTGGGGAATAATACCCCACCACCTCCTAACAAGCATGTCCTAAAAGTCAACCAATTAGGGGTGTTTCCTTCAAAGTGCATCGACCTGTGTGGTGATGAACCAACAGTCTGCATACAAATGAGCCAAATTTGTTAAATAATATTCATACAAAACTCAAATTTTGGAACAAGACCAAAGCCCAGCACTGGACGAACAACCAGAACTTTCTGCAGAGTTTACAGCCATTCAACACTAAGAAGAACAAGAAGACTTTACTTATGTCCAGTATTTACCCAAACAAGGCTAATTTATGTATTTTATTTACGCTTTGGAATGCAGAGGCAGTGAGCCACACATGACAATGCATCAGAGCTCATACAATCAAGACTCATCTACACTTCTCAGCTGTCATCTGCCTGAGAAGTTTAGGACATTCTACACACAAATAAGCCAGATCTGTAAAAATGATGTACACCCAAAACTCAAAAGTGCTAGTAGCACAAGACCAAAATCCAGAAGTGAATAAACAACCAGGATTTTGCATCAGAGTTTATAGCGTGAATGTGATGAAAAAGAATCTATATTGCTGATATACATCAGAACTTAAATCTGTCATCTTTTTCTTCTTCTTCGATCCTTCTGTCAGAAAACTTATATCAGGAGGCCGTAAGCCTTTATGAAAGCTTTCATGCAGTCTATATCTTCTCGTGCACCATAATACCAATTTGTCCTCTTCTTCGATCCTTCTGTCAGAAAACTTATATCAGGAGGCCGTAAGCCTTTATGAAAGCTATCATGCAGTCTATATCTTCTCGTGCACCATAATACCAATCTGTCCTCTTCTTCGATCCTTCTGTCAGAAAACTTATATCAGGAGGCCGTAAGCCTTTATGAAAGCTATCATGCAGTCTATATCTTCTCGTGCACCATAATACCAATCTGTCCTCTTCTTCGATCCTTCTGTCAGAAAACTTATTTCAGGAAGCCGTAAGCCTTTATGAAAGCTATCATGCAGTCTATATCTTCTCGTGCACCATAATACCAATTTGTCCTCTTCTTCGATCCTTCTGTTAGAAAACTTATATCAGGAGGCCGTAAGCCTTTATGAAAGCTATCATGCAGTCGATATCTTCTCGTGCACCATAATACCGATCTGTCCTCTTCTTCGATCCTTCTGTCAGAAAACTTATTTCAGGAGGCCGGTAGCCTTTATGAAAGCTATCATGCAGTCTATATCTTCTCGTGCACCATAATACCAATCTGTCCTCTTCTTCGATCCTTCTGTCAGAAAACTTATATCAGGAGGCCGTAAGCCTTTATGAAAGATTTCATGCAGTCTATATCTTCTCGTGCACCATAATACCAATCTGTCCTCTTCTTCGATCCTTCTGTCAGAAAACTTATTTCAGGAGGCCGGTAGCCTTTATGAAAGCTATCATGCAGTCTATATCTTCTCGTGCACCATAATACCAATCTGTCCTCTTCTTCGATCCTTCTGTCAGAAAACTTATTTCAGGAGGCCGGTAGCCTTTATGAAAGCTATCATGCAGTCTATATCTTCTCGTGCACCATAATACCAATCTGTCCTCTTCTTCGATCCTTCTGTCAGAAAACTTATTTCAGGAGGCCGGTAGCCTTTATGAAAGCTATCATGCAGTCTATATCTTCTGGTGCACCATAATACCAATCTGTCCTCTTCTTCGATCCTTTTGTCAGAAAACTTATTTCAGGAGGCCGGTAGCCTTTATGAAAGCTATCATGCAGTCTATATCTTCTCATGCACCATAATACCAATCTGTCCTCTTCTTCGATCCTTCTGTCAGAAAACTTATTTCAGGAGGCCGGTAGCCTTTATGAAAGCTGTCATGCAGTCTATATCTTCTCGTGCACCATAATACCAATCTGTCCTCTTCTTCGATCCTTCTGTCAGAAAACTTATATCAGGAGGCCGTAAGCCTTTATGAAAGATTTCATGCAGTCTATATCTTCTCGTGCACCATAATACCAATCTGTCCTCTTCTTCGATCCTTCTGTCAGAAAACTTATTTCAGGAGGCCGGTAGCCTTTATGAAAGCTATCATGCAGTCTATATCTTCTCGTGCACCATAATACCAATCTGTCCTCTTCTTCGATCCTTCTGTCAGAAAACTTATTTCAGGAGGCCGGTAGCCTTTATGAAAGCTATCATGCAGTCTATATCTTCTGGTGCACCATAATACCAATCTGTCCTCTTCTTCGATCCTTTTGTCAGAAAACTTATTTCAGGAGGCCGGTAGCCTTTATGAAAGCTATCATGCAGTCTATATCTTCTCATGCACCATAATACCAATCTGTCCTCTTCTTCGATCCTTCTGTCAGAAAACTTATTTCAGGAGGCCGGTAGCCTTTATGAAAGCTGTCATGCAGTCTATATCTTCTCGTGCACCATAATACCAATCTGTCCTCTTCTTCGATCCTTCTGTCAGAAAACTTATTTCAGGAGGCCGGTAGCCTTTATGAAAGCTATCATGCAGTCTATATCTTCTCGTGTACCATAATACCAATGTGTCATCTGATTAAATTTTTTCCACAGCAACTTCTGAACTTATCAGTACCACAGCATTAGTTGCCTAATCAGTCTGTGATATTTTCAACATTCTTCTCCCCTTAAAAAAAAATCCCAAATTTCAATATCTTCAGCTTTCCCACAATTTAATAACTCATTCCACATTCACATCCATACAAAAGACATATATTTTCTGAAATAAGTTTAAATAAGTAGCTCCAGTAAAACATGAATGGTAAGATGCAAAGAGATGACAGAGAAAGTACTCTACCTTGCAGTTCTTCCACCAGTACTTGCGCTTCAGCCTTCCAGCACTAGCCTCAAACTGAGACGCTCCAGCCTGCAATGCCTCTGTAGAGCAGTTCCACACACATTGTCACACAATAACAATAGTTCCACAAATACTCTCACAATAGTCACAAACACTGTCACAAAATAACAAACTCTGGAAAACATTGTCTACACAAAACAATTAGGAAAACACTGTCTATACAGAACAGTTAGGGAAACACTTTCTACACAGAACATGAGTCCACAGTGCTATGAAGGTAACCAAAATTAAAACTCATAACTTAGGAATGTGCAACATTTCTTGGTGAGTTTTAAGTCTGCTAGTTCCTATGTTATTCACTCATGTCAACTAAATTAGCAGAGACAGCTTTTATTCACAATTTTTCAGCAATAGTGCATGTTGTTTACCCTTGACAAATGAAATGTAAGTGATAATGTTGTGATGGTAGTTTTCCTAAAATAGTTTCATCTTCTCAGAGATCACCGGCTGTAAATTCAAGTGGAAAATTCTGGTTGTTCATCCACTTCTGGGCTGGTCTTGTTCCAGAACTTGAGTTTTGCATGCACATTCATTTGGCAGATTTAGCTTATTTACATGCAGACTGTTGGTTTCCCACCTCTCAGGCAGATGCACTTTGACTTCAAAGAAAACACCCCTAGTTAGCCGCCTTTCATGACGAGCTAGTTAGGTGGTGCAGCAGGTCTGTTCTCGTTTTCCCCAAAATCTGCATGGGGAACATATACCTTGTTTAACCCTCAGAGCTATCACCTGGATATACAGTATCCACAATTTTTTCAATGCACGCTGCCGTAGTTTTCTATTGTCTGGCCCTAAGTAGTGATATCTTTGTTCTTAATCCACACTCACTATTAAGTTAAGCAGAGATTGTTTTCTCAGTCTACTTGAGGCTGTAGTAGCCACCCCCCCCCCCCCCCCCCCCCCCCCACCACAACCAATAAAAATACAATAATAGCAAACAAACAAATCAAGGGTGATTAAAGTAATTACCAGCTCTGTCATCTAGCTGTGATATCTTCTGATCCCTGTACAGCACTTTGTCTAAATTCACCTTCATCACGTCTACAACCTGTATACATGAACAAAGACCAGGTGACAAAATTATTGCTGCATAAACACACCACAGAATCACTTAGAATACCTCAACATTGATATCAAGTAATTTACTGATCTTGGCCCTTTTCTGTCTTCCCAGATGATTGTGTTGTACTGTGTTATGGGAAGGCAAAAGAATCACAGCCTATCTCAATGGCACAAAGCCTGGGCAGTACTAGAGACTGTGTGTTACACATGCAGCACCTTCCAGCCTGCCTTGCTTACTCCAAAAGAAAGGTAACACCAATACCTTTGAAACAAAGCCTTCTGTAGAAGCTGCTAGATCAGAAACGCAGTGCTTCATTTGTCAGAGCTTTCCTCCTAGTTGCCAGCAGAGGTTGAAGGGCTTGGATGCACTGCCATGATATCAAGTTTTAAGACTGCATTTCTTCGGTCTAGGATAATGCTAGGTGTTTCTTCTTCAGTGTACTCCTCCTCTCAAAGCCACTGGCACAAGTTAGATCCGAGGTCTGATAAACACTGCCCAACACTTGGTGCTAACACAGAACAGGTTGTACCGACTACTGACCGAGACCTGGGTTTTCATAGAATATATGCAGTCACTTCTTACAAATGTATCTATAGAATGCATGTGTGCCTTAAAGTATGCAGTAGAGTTCTACCAAGTTTATTATAAAATCAATGCTGGAATACCTCATCCACCTGAGCCATAGTCTGCTGCAGGCGCTTGCTCTGTTCCCGCGGAGGAGGCAATCCTGCCTGGGGGCCACCTGGTCCTGTCGACCTGAAAAGTGAGAAGCATCAGTACCCTTGTAATGATACAATTTATCATTTATCAGATAAGTCTGGGAAAAACATCTAGTTAGCATAAATTATGTGCAAGAGGTGGGACTTAAAAAAAGATCACAGGCCAGGAAAGACAAACGTGGGATTGTCTGAAACATGGGAATGACTGAACAATCCTCGGATAGTGCATGGAATTGAGTGGATGATCAGAAGTGAGAGAGAACTAAGGATCATTCTGTGTGTCTGGTGCTTGGACAAGATGAGTGGAGTCTGCATGTGTGTATGTAATGCACATTTTACTGAGTCATATGTTTAAAAGAAGTAATTTAAATGTCAAACAAAATATAAAAATAGCTCACATAAGTGCAGCAAAATGTATAAAGACCATAAAGAAAACACAAAACATAAAGACCATATATGTTGAGTCTATAATAACAACAAACAAACACTTGACAGCATGAGCCACGCCATCACATGGTCAATATGCAAGCAGAATAATCAAATAAATAACTGTAACACTTCTTCTTTCTTTGCTTTTAAAAGGGTAATTGGTACATTGTGTTGTGGTTTACAGCTAGGCTGCAATATCTGCATCTTTTGGCGAAACATATCTGATTTCAATAAACTCCTCATTACTACAACATGCTTGTAAAGAGGAGCAGTGGTTACACTACCCCCAATACCCCTCTCGGCCAACAATGGGGCCCTTAATCCACAGGGGAATGTCCAACAATGGGGCCCTGGAATCCACAGGGGAATGCCCAACAATGGGGCCCTGGAATCCACAGGGGAATGCCCAACAATAGGGCCCTGGAATCCACAGGGGAATGCCCAACAATGGGGCCCTGGAATCCACAGGGGAATGCCCAACAATGGGGCCCTGGAATCCACAGGGGAATGCCCATTAATGGGGCCCTGGAATCCACAGGGAAATGCCCGACACATCTGATTTCAACCAACTCCTAATTAGTCACCTTCTAGGACATGCTTGTAAGGGGCCAGTGGGTGTATCCCCCCCCCCCCCCAATGAGGCCCGTGAATCCACATGGGGAACTGTGGCTCTGTATGTAGCTCACTGTTACTTATAAATACATTTAAACAATAATATGGTACATATGAAAACTTGTCTAGTCACAATAATGTAAGCACCAGACAGATCCAGCAAGCAATGTGAATAATACAGCTTTTTAAGCTAATAATCTACATCAACTTCAATCCCTGCATTAAAGGAAAGGAAAGGCAAGAGAGACACAGGATCAGATTGTTTCTGGTAACATCAGAGTGGAACTGTTAGCTGGCTGCTGAAGATGAGAATGCTGCGTATATGGGAATGTCTGAATGCCATAATGTTGGTTCTCATTATAACTCTAATCTTTGCATCAAATGACAGCAGACATGTGATTTTTAAGAAAAATGCCAAAATCAACATGGTCATAAAAAACAAACGGAGCAAGTTTTAATAACTTTTTATTCAGTATTCCTAGCATTTAAGGTTCATTTCTGTAGACATAACTCGCCTCCAGTCATCTCTGTGATTGACCTCTTCCCAGTTGGTGACTTCAAGTGTTTGTAGGTCTGGCTGTATATTATCTCTCCAACAATGTTTGGGTCTGCCTCATGGTGCACTTCCATTCAACTTGTTTTGTATATGCAGAGATAATATACAGGCCGACCTACAAACACTATGAGTTACCGATGGCAAAGTCAAGGCCAATCTCCATGAATGGAGGCGGGTGATATCTGCAGATATGAACCTCAAGGGTTTGTAATGTTGAAGAAGAAGAGAAGGAGGAGGAAAAGAGAGAAGAGTAAGAGAGTAAAAGTGGCAGCCAAGCACAATCCAAACCTCCTGATCAATAGTCTATTAACTGGAGACAGTGCATGCAGTGGTATGACTTTAAAGACAAAACTGACAATGTCAAACAAGTAACAATAAAATCTTTCCAAGCAAAAGAAAGAAAAAAACCAGAAATCCTATAAAAACTAATATATGTAGGTAAAGTGATAAAAAAATAGCCAACTCAAAAATATAGTTTCAAAGAAACAGAAAAAACTCATCAACAGCATTATAATAAATATGAACCAAAGACGACATGAAAACAATAATTCACCAAAAGTACTAACAGCTTGTTCATTTCCTTTTACTTCTACATCTGCATGTCCTGACATGTAAATTAAACTGATCTTTTCAGGCGTGACCACCTCAGACTTCAGCTACTGTCTTCCGGCCGAGACTATCTTTATCTTCTTGAGCATAATGTTTCATGTTTCCATTTCTCTAAAATCAAATGTTCAAAATATCTCCTAACTAATCCTTGCTTCATATATATATCATGCTCCCATAACACTGAACATCGTAAGGTCAGGAGTTGCTGCTGACTGTCTGATCAGTTCCCTCCACCTTTGGCGGTCACATGCAATGGATTTCTTGGTTGCATGACTAAGGCTTGTCTTTCTTGGTCTGCCTCTTCTTCTCTACTGAGCCCTGTAGTATTGTTTCTGAGAGGCTATATATATATCCATATTTCCATCATCCTAATGATGCTGTACATTAAAGCTAACTCAGAAATGTAGCGTCAAAGAACCGCTTGCAGTCTGGTCCTTCATTCAGTTATATCCTTTACAACCACTTGGATATCAAGTCCAGCACCTTTGGCCTCTCTCAACAATATTCTTCTTAAGGTTTCTCTTGGAGTCATTTCCTCAATCCATCTGTTTCTCATTTTAGTGCATGTTTTGGTGTTTCTCTGTCTGTTGTTTCTCCTCATGATGTGTACAAACATAGTGCCATCTTCCTTGTCATACCACTGATGATACAAGTGGATTTTCAGACATTTCTTTTATCTTTTAACCTTTTTTAATTGACCATAATTTAATGTCTGGATGGTCCTGTGCCAATGTTAAACAAACAAGCTAGAAGGTATAGCAGAAAGACTAAAAGACAAAGATCTTAATGCATTAGAGAATCATATAGCTGTATATATTTCAGGCAGTTACTATATATTCTGTTTTGGAGAACAAGTCTCTCTGTGGGTTCCAGGTTACCTTTGTGGAGAGAAGTAGAACAGACCCACTGCCTCCTAATAAGCATGATGTAAGAGTTGACTAATTAGGGATGTTTCCTTTGAAGTCAGAGAGCACCTACCTGATATGAGAGGAACCAATAGTTTGCAAACAAAGATGCCAGATGTCTAAAAAAAAGACCTGCATGCAAAAGTCAGATTGTGGAACAAGAAAAACTCCAGAAGTGGATGAACAACCTGAAATGTCTGCTGGAGTTTAGCCAGTGATTGCAAATAAGAGGAGGAGTTAGGCAGGCAGTGATCAAAGGGAGTGATCATGGGCAACACATGGTCACTACAAAACTGTCCAAGCTTCTTGCATGGACATGAACTTCACCCCTGACCTTAATGTGTTGCCATAGGTCTGTGATTCCAATACCTGCTTATACCACAATGGAAAACTAAAAATACCCGCTTATACCACAATGGAAAACTAAGGTCTGGAGCAATGAACAAGTGCTAACAACAAATAAGTACAAATATTTCACCACATGCCTTATCAAAAAAATTAAACAAGAGACATACAATTTTATGAAAAGGAGCTGATGTGATAATTTTAGAAAGCATTAAAAAAAATGCCGCCCAAAAATGTAGTGCATTAACACATGTTATTTCCAGGTGAGGTTCATAAACATAAAAGTGGGAACCACTCATTTCACTCTTTCAGAACCAAGTCACATGTGATGTGTGATTAATTTATTTCCTGTGTGATGCAAACATTACATCATGTGTAGTCTTAATTTAAGGTTTGGTTAGCTCAGAAAAAACAAACAAAAAATCTGGCATCTAAAGCAACTCAGTGCATTTCCATTACACATTTTACATGTACTTCCCTTTTACTTGATTTTGTAAAGACATGATTTCTGACTGAAATGTTCTTGGACGGAAAGAGTAAAAGCTACAAAGATAGTGATGCAATATCTACACATATACATATACAACAGATAACATATATCCCTGCTACTTACGGGGGCCCACCTGGGCCAGCTTGGGGGTTCAGAGGGGCAGCCCTTGATAAAGAGCAAGTGTTGATTACAGATTATGTGACACAGCAACATGACCAACTAAAGTAATTCGACTGGACTAACTACTGTCCCAGACACCTGCCCTGCCTGTCAGCTGGATGGTTTTAGTTTCAAGTCAGCATTGTGCAGGGATCCCTCCCCCCCCCCCCTCAAAATGACCTTGGTCCCCATATCAACCTAGCCTTAAATGAATATCAGGTAATATCCCTGGGGGGTGGGGGGAGGGGGGGGGGGTGGTGGATGGCCAGTCAACCATATCATCTACAGCAGGGCTATTCAACTAAGTTTACCCAGCGGCCAGCATTTTTGAAAATAGGGATGGCCAGAGACCAGAAGCCCCAGCCGAAGCATAAAAAGCTCAATAATACAGTATAACAAGCAATGATCAGCGGGCTATTTGGTAGAGGTTCACGAGCCAGATGAGGCCAGGGGGCTGCTAGCTGAATAGCCTTGATCTACACAGTGCTAACTGGTCTATACAAATATGAGGCTAGCATCACATGCCTGTGGAGCCACTGGTGTCCTCTCTACTGTTACTAACTACTTCCCCACTAAAGTCACATTTACCCACAACACACAGCTCAACATTTCAGCATTTGTTATTTCAATTTGCTCTTTCAAAGTCCTAGAACAGACTTCCATGGGTTATCCATGCATAACTTTTTTTTGGAAAGGGGGGGGGGGGGGGGGGGGGGGAAGACTTTTATAAAATTCATTTGCTTAAAAAAAAAAAAAAACCACATTATTTCTTTTACTTCATTAATTCCAAATGCTGTGATCCAATTGTCTGTTATTATTCAGAGTGAGCTTGTCGAGTGCGGTAGGATCTGTTACTAATTTAAAAAATTGATGACTTGTTGCTTACTTTCAGGATTTGTGAAATATCCAATGTTGTACTAATTTCACTGTTTATAAAAACGGTATGCATCTCTTGCATTTGAGCCAGTGGCGGCTCATGGACAGACAATGCACATCTGCAGCTTCTTATCTTGGACATGCACACAACAGGTTGAACAACTACTAGGTTGTTGTATGCATACACATAAGGAGCTGCAGTTTAAAGTTAATTTTATTCAGAAGATTGTAATCTACATTTACAACTCTAAAAACAATAATTTCAAAGTGTATTTCATGCATGTGCTGTATGCTGTTCTTTCAAAGCTGTTACTAAATTGAATTTCTGAAGGTTGTTATCCATGTTTTATTTTTGTTACTGTATTCTGTGTATTTTCTAAAACTGCAGGTGCAGATTCTGGAGATTTTTCAAGGCAGAAAGACAATCCAGAGATAGACTCCCTGAAGCTTTCTTCACAAGCCGCATCCTTCTAGAGATTTACCTTTCACTTTCATGGTTGCTTTTCATTTGGAAAACATACTAATTTATGAAAATAACACAGTATACAATGTTTATGCATGGGCTACTGACAGGTGATTATAAACAAAATAATTAAACTAAATTCAATGTGTAGAAACAAATATTTCAATATTTATTTGTTAATATATATATATATTCGAAATCATTAATTACAAGCGATTGAATTTGAAACGGCCACATAAAAATTTGGCAACATTGTAATTTACTAACAAAATGTCATACATACATCCCCATAACAAGGAAATACTAAACGTTCCGACAGCAAGAACATCTTGAAATGAACCATCTGATAAATGTGTAGGAATCTGCATACATTACGATGATTCATGATCAAAATTCGAGATAAGATCATCTTATCATAAGATCCAGAGGTATTTTAAATTTAATGGTCGACTCCGTGAGACTGAGTCCAGTGACAATCGGACATTTAACGGTCGAGTCTCAAGATTTCCACAGCCCTGTTAACAGTTAATCCGCTAGGAAGACATGTCTAACGAAAAAATACTCTAGGTTGAAATGAGAAGACGAGATAACAGACAACGTACATTGTGATTTGTAATAAACTGAAACTTGTTTCTGCTGATGCCGTCTGCTGATTCCAACCGTCAACAAAGATGGCCGCACAACCGCGATGACCTCATCCGGGTACTGCTAGATAGATTTAGGGCCCAGGCTAACTAGTCGATTCAGTAAGTAAAAGTAAAGGACCGCTTTCCACGCCTGCATGCGTACTTGGAATGCATGACTATACATACAGATCAATTGGCACTCGGTGGGTGACGTGGTCAATATCACCCCGACCGCTTTTACTTCAAAGGACTTTACCTGGTACCCAAAATAAATGTAGTTCGACCTGGGTGCCCTGATTATAACTTCTATGGAGGTTGAGCGGAGTATGGGTTGTGAGTTGAGAACCGACATCATAGCTGTTAGGACATTCCCACCTCCAGCAGCAAGGCCAGTGTTCCAATTCTGATGGCAGCAGTAACAGTCCGACAGTATGCCCGTCTCTCCCCTCCCCTGAGTGCTTAGCAAACTGTTTAAAAGGGATATCTGAAACCCACATCATACGTTATCTTATCCAAGCGCCTAGATACTTCAATGTTTGTCCTAAAATAACTTCTTTGACTTTTATTATTCATTTAGGCACTATTCTTTTCTTGGACCATTACTTCCGTCTTTCCATTATTAAAACTGAGGCCAATTTTATCACTTTCTATCACCATTGCATCTATCAATTTCCGGTAGTTCTTTCTGACTGGTCACTATCAAGACGATGTTATCAGCATAACGTAGGATGTTTATGTTATGCCCACCAACAGCAGTTCCTGGCACATCCCTGATAGATTTCAATATATATTCACTGTGTAATGAAAATAAATCAGGTGATAGTACGCATCCTAGTCTTACGCCCCTTTTTATGGTCTGAAATGTTCCCAACTGTTTATTAATTCTTATAGCTGATGTTTGCTGCCAATATATGTTGTTTATAATTCGTAAATCTGTTCCATCAATATTTAACTTTCCAACAGTTTGATTATTTATTCATGGTTCACACAGTCAAATGATTTATTGTTGTCAATAAAATATAAGTAAAGATCGATTTTTAACTACTTAGCTCTTTCTGAAAGAGTTCTGAAGATGTACATGGCATTGTTTGCACCTTTTCCTTCCACAAATCCACACTGTTTTCACTAATTTCTGGTTTAATCATATCCTTCTCATTATTATTCTCAGCAACATTTTTGTCACATTATTTACAAGACCTTTGGTGCGAAGGTCTTAACATTGTGCCTGGTTTCTTTGGCAGAGCAATACATATGGATTAAAATAGGTATTTAGGAATGTATCCACTAGTATAAATGTCATTTATTATTTTTTCTTATTATTTCCATTCCAAAATATCCTAAAGCTGCAATTTCTTCCATTGTGATGTTGTCTGGTCCGGTTGCCTTTACTTACACACACACACACACACACACACACACACACACACGCGCGCGCATATATATATATTAATGTAGAGTAGCTTCCTTGTTTTCTTGTTGGTTTTTCCTCTCCAGGATTGCAGTCTGCGAGACTGACATCTCAAGGACGAGAATCATGCAGGTACAAATCAGGGTTTAACCATATAGCCTTATAGCACAGTTATATTTGTGCAGCGCAAATCGGTTATGAGGTAATACACAGTCCAGTGTTGAGTTCCAAACTGTGCTCTGCTCTTGTAATTAAGTCGTCCCCTTGTGGCATGCAGTATTTTGTTATTTGAAGCCCCACCCTGGCTTCCGCCGGGGGCCCTGAATATAGCTGGGCTACAATTGTGGCCATAACGGCTGAAAGGGTTTTCTTTGACCTCTCCACGGGTGATCCTCATCCGCATGGTGGCACTTTGTGTGATGTCCTGGTGTGGTGGAACTACCTACCTACCTACCAACTGTGCTCTGTGTGCGCTAGTACAGTTTCTTAACGTAGCATTCGATTCCAGAACAGTCCTGACCGAAGTAAATTCAATCATATCCTAAATACGTAACATCGTTTAAGGAAGTTCTGTGTTGGTAGGCTTGCACTAATTACTCAACAACACGATTCTTGGTAAGATCAACGTAATACAGAACAGCCATTGAAAAGGGGGATTAATTCATACTAAAACTCCTTTATTTAAAGAATTACTTCCCTTGCCCCAATCGCAAAAGGTCACCAGTTGCTTTTGTTAATTTTTGTTCGTGTCTTATCTTCCTAATCGCTATCTTCCACTTAACCTCCATTTTCCTTCAAATTACCCTTTCCTTCTTATCACCGAACTCCTTCTTATCACCGAACTCCTTCTTATCACCGACCTCCTTCTTATCACCGAACTCCTTTCTTATCACCCTCATCCTTCTTATCCCCCTCTTCCTTCTTATCACCCTCCTACTTATGGTGTCCGTTTAATCCACTTTCGTCCTTTTCAGGACGAAATTTTTTGTTATTTGAAGCCCCCACCTGGCCAGTTGTCTGAACGCGGTTTCTGGGACCTCTCCACGGTGATCCTCATCCACATGGTGGCACTTTGTGTCATCGGGTGTTTATCGCTTGTGTGATGTCCTGGTGGGGTAGAAAGTCTGTCAGTCAGTCATGGTGTCCGTAGTATCTTGAGCTCAGGACGGGACATCACAAGCTAACCAGTGTCTCTACAACCCCCTCATCCCCGACCCCTGGCCTTATTTTTCCACAATAATAATAAAAACAATAACTACAACAATGATAATAATTTGCTAAGGGGCAAATAAATATAATAATTTATATGATCTAATATAAGTTGTTCAAGGAAATACTTAAAGAGAGATTAAACGTCCCGTCCTAACATGGGCCATTCCTATAAATAAACAGAGGGGGAACCTTTCAGGCCGTTAAATATTATGAATTATTCAAGTAACAGAAAGTGTATTGATTGGCACTTATAGAAAGAAGTAGATAGATAGAAGAACACACTGAACAACATAAAAATCGAAAGCTATAGTTACCGTGCCGGGAATTGAACCTGTCACCTCGCCCTGTGTTCTTCTATCTATCTACTTCTTTCTATGAGTGCCAATCAATACACTTTCTGTTACTTGAACAATTCATAACA